TGTGTGTGTGTGTGTGTGTGTGTGTACACGCATGCGTGTGTGCACTAGTGCTGGGACTTGAACTCAGGACCTCGCTTTCCCGCTTGGCTTTCTCACTCAAGGCTGGCGCTCTACCACTTGAGCCACGCCTCCACTCCTTGCCTTTGTGCTAGACACAAGAGGCGCATGGATTTGTCTGCCCGGGCCGGCTTTGAACCTCGATCCTCAGACGTCAGCCTCCTGAGCAGCTGGGATGACAGGCGGGCGTCGCGCATCTTTTCTTGAGTTTTGGTTAGAGACGAGTTGCTGTGGGAAGGACCACGGAACCGCAGTGAGTCATCAAGAAAAGGGTTTAATGAGAATATTCAATACAGAGCATTTCTGTGAGGTTCTCCCCCGTCAGGCCCAGGCAGGAAGAACGGGAATCCGGGGTGTCATGGCGAAAGGTTAGGCAACTGACGTGAATTTACTTGGAGAAAGGCGGGTGAAGGCCTTCTGCTTCTTAACTACCTGTTTCTTGGCCCAAGAAACATCTCAGGAAAGGAGCATTTTCTCAGGAAGCTATTTTCATGCACACAAAAGGTGTTGAACAGGATCTAGAACGTTTTCATTTGTGCCAGTCCCGGGACTTGAACTCAGAGCCTGAGCACCTTCCTCTAAGATTTTTGTGCTCAGGGCTGGCGCTCTACCGCTTGAGCCATAGCTCCATTTCTGACTTTTTTTGGGTGGTTCATTGGAGATCAGAGTCCCACGGATTTTCCTTCCCCGGGGCTGGCTTTGAACCACGATCCTCAGATCTCAGCCTCCTGAGTAGCTGGGATGACAGGCGGGAGCCACCGGCGCCCTTCATTTCTATTCGATTTGCCCCTTCAAAGTGAGCCAAAGAAGCAACGAGAGATCTGCGGTTGTTTCTATCCACGAAGCCTTTTTACATTCTTAGGTGAGAGTTTGGTAAAAATAAAAAATGGCGTCCTTGTGTTGGAAGTCGAGAAAAGAAAATAATAATAAGCACCTGCTTAACCCAAAGGTGAGACAAACGCAGACCGCCGCATTCTCCGTGTCGTGTGTCCTTCTGATGTGTTCAGTGCGGACACTGGGGCTCGAACTCGGGGCCTCCTGCTCCTCCATGGCTTTTTGGTGTTTGGTTTTTTTTTTTTCCTCAAGGCTGGAGCGCTACCATTTGAGTCACCGCATTTGTGCTGCTTAATCTGGGGGAGATAACGAATCTCCTCTCTCGCGGGGGTCTGCCCCCAGAGACCGTCTTTGGAACCACGATCCTCCGGATCTCAGTGCTCAGATGACAGGTGTGGGCCACTCAGCACGCTGGCCGCCACAGCGTGGTTTATTCTGCGTGTGGAAGAGTGTAGTTTCTGGAGTCTTGAATAACTTGGTTGGAGTTATTCACGGAAAAAGGGGTGGAGGGGGAGAGAAAAATACACGACTCTGGACTGGCTTCTAGATCAGTTAAAGATACTGGCCTCTTCCTCCTCCTCCTCCTCCTCCCTCACATCCAAACTCCCATCCAAGTTGGATATCTTGCGGTCAGGATTCAGTGGGGCCTTGGCTGCCCTCGGGGGTCACGAACTGGACCTTGGGGACCAGCAGGGCTGCGTTGCTCCTGCGCAGGGAGCTGTTGTTCCTCCTCATGGAGTTGTTCCTGCGCATGGAGTTGCGCTTGCGCAGCGAGTTCTGGTGGGACAGCTCGCTCCTCTGCAAGGCCTGGATGAGGATGGAAGGCTTCTCGTCCAGTTCCCGGGCGCTGCAGCGGGGGGCGGCCACCTTCACCGTGTTGCCAAACTTGGAGTAATCCACGGAGTACACGCCCTCCTCCTCGGTGACGATGGACACAAAGCGGTGGCCCCACTGGATCTCCTCGGCCACGTACGAGGTCCGGGCTTGGGTGGTGATGCCTGTAGTCTCCACCACCCCCTCCAGGATGACGATGACCTCCAGGTCCTGGGTGGCCAGGTCGTTGGCCGAGATGTCATACAGGGGGCTGCGCTTGTCGATCACGTGGCAGATGATCAGCGGGGCCACCAGGAAGATGTTGTTGCTCTCGATGGGGTTGTCCACGGGGATGTCCACCTGGTGGATGGGCACCACCTCGCCCTCGGGGGTGGTGGTCTTCCTGACCACCTGGATCCTCACCGAGGCGCTGATGATCATGCTCTTCCTCAGGTCCCCCACGCGGAACATGAAGCACAGACGGCCGTTCCTCACGGCGATGACGGCGTGGCGGCTGAAGATGAGCGTCTCGGCCCGGCGGTGGGCCTGGGCCGTCTTCATGAAGATGCAGCCCAGCATCACGGCGTTGATGATCAGGCCCACGATGTTCTGCAGGATGAGCACCGTGATGGCCAGCGGGCACTCCTCCGTCATCATCCGGCCGCCGAAGCCGATGGTCACCTGCACCTCGATGGAGAAGAGGAAGGCGGAGGCGAAGGACCTGCCCGAGAAAAGCAAATGGATCATGGTTGGGAGGATCTGCGTTGTCCAGGATGGAATCACCCACTGCTTTGGCTGGACAAGCGCCAACCCGGGTCTTCCCGGGACCCGGATGGTTAACTACAGAAAAGCTCGTTGCTGTCCTGCTGCTAGTTTTCGTGGGTGCCAGTCCTGGGACTTGAACTCAGGGCCTGGGCGCTGTCCCTGAGCTTCATTGGCTCAAGGCTAGTGCTCTATACCACCTGAGCCACGGCACCACTTCTGGCTTTTTCTGGGTCTGTGGTCCTGAGGAATCGAACCCAGGGCTTCACGCATGCTAAGCGAGCACTCTACCACTGAGCCACCTGCCCAGGCCTCTTTGAGCTGACTCTTTCCTGGGCATGTGGGACCAGGGGCTGCCATCTTGGCTGTGTGGCCGCCATGTTGGATGAGTAGCTGTTTCCACGACACGTGGAAACTCCCTGGAGTTTGGACCTGGGGTCACAAACTCTGGCTTCAAAATCACACCCCAAGCTGAACCTTAAAGGGCTATCAAATGTTCTTGGAGAGGCTAGCCAAAATATCAAATGCATTATTTTAAGGACAAACACAGTTACTATCTGTCTGTCTGTCTGTCTGTCTGTCTATCTGTCTCTGTCTATGTGTCTACCCACGTCTCTGTGGCTCTCTTTCTCTATCAACTGTCTCTCTGTATCTATTATCATGTCTATTTCTCTCTTTACCTATATCTATCTATCTATCTGTCTGTCTGTCTGTCTGTCTGTCTGTCTGTCTGTCTGTCTGTCTATCTATCTGTCCAGCCAGCTACTTTCCCTCTGTATCTCTCATCTATGTAGCTACCATCGATTTCAGTCTCTTAACCTATCATCTATGTATCAATCCTCTCTCCCCCCTCCCCTCTCTCCTTGCAATACATTCCCAGGGTAACATTTTATTAATGCTGTTCACTCATGCAATATGTGAATGCATTAGCATAATAAATATCAGGAGGAGCCATCATGCTACATTTATAGGTGTATTTTGTGAAGTACATTACATTCTCAAAGGCTTAGCCGACTTTGCAGGATATTCTTCCCGGGAGCTGTTTATTATTTAGTGCATTAACTGTTGGCGTTTAAGAGGCTTGAGTCACATGGAAAGTATTGCTCAATGACCGAACTTTCCGTTATATATAATTGTCAAAATCGTAATCACCAGCCAACATTTGGTGTGTACCTTATCTAGACAAATCACAGTGCCTGACATTGGTATAAAATGTATCATTCCAAAAGACTAGTCATTGTGCGTGTGTGTGTGTCCTTGAGTTTGAATTCAGAGGCTGGGTGCTGTCTCTGAGCTAGCTATAATCTAGCTTTCTACCACTTTGAGCCACAGCTCCACTTCTGGTTTTCTGGTGGTTTATTGGAGGTGAGAGTCTCACAAACTTTCCTGCCCAGGCTGGCTTTGAACCACCTTCCTCAGATTTCAGCCTTCTGAGTAGCTGGGATGACAGCTACTCAACATGAGCCACCAGCACCCGGCGGAAACTCTTAACTTGAATGAACTGTGAAAAAAAGCCACAAGTGGTGCTGTGGCTCAAGTAGTAGAGCGCCAACCTTGAGCAAAAAGACCTGAGGGACAGCGCCCAGGCCCGGAGTTCAAGCCCCAGGACTGACACAGGGAGAGAGAGAGAGAGAGAGAGAGGAGGGAAGGAGGGAAGGAAGGGAGGGAGAGAGGGAAGGAAGGGAAAGAAGGAAGGGAGGGAGGAAGAGGAGGAAGGAGGGAGGGGAAAGGAAAGGCTGAGATTAATCTGACCAGTTGAAATATCTCGAGTGAAGCCCTTTCACAATTAACCAGCAACAATAAAGAACTCTAGTGTTTTCTGAACCTTTAGGCCAACTTCTAATTTCTAAATCCATTGCAACCGACCTGCTGTGTTAAGACAATCTTGCTATAGTTATTTATTTTCTTTTTTAGCCTATTTTTAAGGTTCTCCTTTCTCCTCCCTCAAATACTATTTCTGAAAAACACCACGAAAATGGTCCATACACGATCCTTTTACTTGATTGCATACTGAAAATAAAATGTATGCCTTTTTTTGTTTTGGTCTGAGACTTGAACTCGGTCTCTGACACTTTCGCTCATTGGATGGCACTCTACCGCCTGAGCCACGTCTCCAGCCCCAAAGGTGTGCTTTCGGAGTCAGGAATCCTTTGAGCTCAGGCAAGTTTTAAACAGCTGGTATTTGCTGTTTTGAAGGTCTTCCCCAAGGATTGACACCTCCGTGTCAGAGAATATTATCTATCAAGTGGCATTTATAAGGAGTTTTTAAAATTATTGTTTAATACGTTTTATTCCCTCCTTGATTTTACTTATTCCTGAATGTTCTAGAACCAAACTTTTATTTCACCACCCACAAAATGAGAGAATAAGAGAAAAGGCATTTAAAGATCTCTATCTGCCCATCCACCTACTTACCCATGCATTCATAATCTACCATCCATGTATCTGTTATCCATCCATCTAGCATATATCCACTATCGTCTATCAATCTATGAACGTATTTAACATCAAGACTCCTATCAATCATTTAACCTATCTTATTATCATCACCTGCCCATACCTATACACGCATCTCTATCCCTCTCTCATCCTGCCTTTCTATCATCTGATCTATGCATTCTGGGTACCATCTACCTCTCGCTGGATCCATTCGTGCTGCCTGTCCATCCATCTCTCATCTAATCAATCCGTCAGTCTCTCATGTGTCCATCTATCCATCAGCTAATCAATCTATCATCCAGCTCTATCCATCCATCAATCCATCATCTATCCACTAATCCATCCATCTATCCATCATCTAATCGATAATCTATCAGCAAAAGACTTCATCTATCATTTATCCATCGATGTATCTATATCTCATCGAATCTACCAATTCACCTATCTATCTAGCCACCTCGCCATCGACCTATCATCTAGCTACCTACCTATTTATCCATCTACCTATCTATACATCCATTGATCCATTCACCCATCAACTATCTATATTCATCTATTTATCATCTATCTATCCATCTATCCATTCATCCATTCATAATCTATCCATCTTTGTATGTAGGTCCATAAGTATGTATGTGTATCTATCTATCCATTCACCTATTCATCCATCTACCATCTTTCATCTACCACCTACCTATCCATCTATCATCCATCCATCATCCATCATTTAGCTATATTTTCATTTATATATTATCTATCCATCCATCCATCCATCCATCCATCCATCTATCCATTTATGTATCTATTTATCTATCTGTGTATGCATGTATGTATGCATCTATTTATCCATCCATCCATCTATCCATTCATCTTTCCATCTATCCATCCATCTAGCTATCTATCCACCGATAGATGGATCTATGTATCTATCCATCCATCCATCCATTCATTTTTCCATCTGTCCATCCATCTAGCTATCTATCCATCTATCCATCTATGTATCCATCCATCCATCCATCCATCTATCCATCTGTCTCCATCCATCCATCCATCTATCCATCTATGTACTTACCTATTCATCCATCTATCCATCTGTGTACCTACCTATTCATCCATCTATCCATCTGTCTAACTATATATCTATTTATCTATGTATCCATCCATCCACCCATGTATCTATCTACCTATCCATCCATGTATCTATCGATCAATCTATCGATCCATTCATCTTTCCATCTATCCATCCATGTTTTCGGCCATCCTTCCATTCATCCATCCACATATCTACCTATCTATTCATCCATCTGTCCATGTATCTATCATCCA